CGACGAACGTGTCTAGACTTACCATTGTAGAGATTGCTCTGTGCCCTTCCAATTGCCGCTTGACAATCGCAATGTATGCATATTGGAGGGACAGGCTTCTCCCAACTTGGAATATCCTCGAGAAAATGGCGTAGCCATTCAGCCTCTTCAGTGCACTTATCCAAGGCTATTAGCTCAGACTCCATCGTGGATCTAGCTATTAACGTTTGTTTTGAGGATTTCCATGATACGGCTGCACCTCCCAAAGTGAAAACATATCCACTTGTGGACTTAGAGTCCTTTATGTCGGATATCCAACTAGCGTCGCTATACCCTTCAAGTACAGCTGGATATCTTCCATAGTGCAGTCCAAGGTTTTGGGTTTTTACGTAAATACCTCAAAACCCTTACTATTGCCTTCCAGTGTTCAGCACCGGGGTTGCTAGTATATCTACTTAGCTTACTAACCACAAAGGCAATATCAGGCCTGGTACAACTCATTAGATACATCAAGCTTCCAACAATCCTAGCGTATTCTACTTGAGAAATACACTCTCCACGATTTTTGGTAAGTTGTACGTTTTTATCTAATGGAGTCCTTGCCTCTTGATAATCATCCTTATTAAATTTCGTAAGGATTTTATCAACGTAATGGGATTGACTTAGCGTAAGACCGTCAGGTCCTCTAATTATTTTAATCCCAAGGATTAAATCGGTCAACCCCATATCCTTCATGTCAAACTTAGAATTTAACACGCTTTTGGTAGAATTAATCATTAGATTATTGCTACTCACGATGAGTATATCATCCACGTATAAACATAAAATGACATAGCCGTCTACCGTGCTCTTCACATAGACGCATTTGTCACTTTCGTTTATTTTAAACCCATTAATTAACATTGCATCATCGAACTTTTCGTGCCACTGTTTAGGGGCTTGTTTCAATCCATACAATGATTTAATTAATTTACACACTTTCCTTTCTTGGCCTGGAACACGAAAGCCCTCGGGCTGTTCCATATAGATTTCTTCGTCTATATCGCCATTTAGAAAAGCAGTTTTTACGTCCATTTGATGAACTTCCAATTTCCGCAATGCGGCAATTGCTAGTATCATCCTAATGGAATTTATTCTCGTCACAGGAGAATACGTGTCAAAGTAATCATGGCCCTCACGTTGCTTGTATCCCTTGATTAGAAGTCTGGCCTTGTACTTATCGATGGAACCGTCATGTTTCATTTTCCGTTTAAAAATCCACTTGGATCCCAAAGGTTTATTTCCCGGAGGAAGATTAACCAATTCCCATGTGTGATTTTTAAGGATAGAATTCACCTCACTTTTGATGGCTTCTTTCCACATAGGACCTTCAGTAGACGTCACGGCTTCCGTATAAGTCCGTGGCTCATTTTCTACCAAACATGTTAGAAAATCCGGTTCATTTTCTACCATACATGTTAGAATATCCGGTTCAAATTCTACCAGGTAGGTGAGAAAATCCGGTCCGAAGGATTTTTCAACTCTAGCACGTTTGCTACGTCTGGGTTCGGGTTCTTCTCTGGATCCCTCGCTAGTATTTTCCATAGCTACGTCAAATGTTCGTTTTGACGTGCTAGGCCCTTCGTTGGACTTGCATGGAAATACATCTTCAAAGAATGAAGCATTCCTTGATTCAATGATTGTGTTTTTATGTACATCCGGATTATTCGAATCGTACACTAAAAACCGATAAGCACTACTATTTTGTGCATATCCAATAAAAATACAATCCACCGTTTTTGGACCTATTTTTATTTTCTTAGGTGTTGGTACAAGCACCTTAGCAAGACACCCCCACACTTTTAAATATTGATAGGAAGGCCGTCTGTCTTTCCACAACTCGTACAGAGTTTTATCATATTTTTTCCGGGGAACCTTATTTAACAGGTAATTGCTTGTCAAGATTGCTTCGCCCACATATTTTGTGGCAAGCCCGAACTTACTAGCATCGCGTTCATCATATCTTTCAATGTGCGATTCTTTCGTTCGGCAACACCGTTTGATTGAGGTGAATAGGGTGTGGTACGTTCGTGTACTATACCCACACTAGTGCAAAAGTCACCAATTGGTGCTTCATACTCACCACCTCGATCACTCCTAACCGTCTTAATCCTTCGATTAAGTTGGTTTTCCACTTCATTCTTATAAAGAATGAATTTATCGATTGCTTCGTGTTTATTTTTTAATAAATAAACGTAGCTATAGCGAGTGCTATCATCGATAAAGGTAATAAAAATTTATTACCATGCGACACAAACGTCACTATGAATTAATTCAAGTGGTTCCGTTTTTCTTTCAACCGATTTGAAAGACGTTTTCATTAGTTTTGCCTCTACACAAACTTCACATTTGTGCTTCACATCAATTGTGAATTTAGGAATGTGTTCCATGTTAATTAATCTACGTATAGAATTAAAATTAACATGTCCTAGTCTACCATGCCACACATTAGAAGACTCAAGCAAGTAAGCAGAATGTATTTTATTATTATTATTAATAATAGTCATTACATTGAGCTTAAACATCCCATCAACTGCATATCCCTTGCCCACATACATTCCCGATTTAGACAAAACTAGTTTGTCCGACTCAAAAACCATGCGAAAGCCATGTTTGTTCAACAACGAACCGGAAATCAGGTTTTTGCGTATTTCCGGAACGAACAAAACTTGGTTTAGAGTCAGCTCCTTGCCCGAAGTCATCTTCAGGACCACTTTGCCCACGCCTTCAACCGCGGAATGAGTCGAGTTACCCATCCACACTTTCTCACCATTTGATGGCTCAAAAGTTGTGAATAACACTCGGTTCGAGCAAATGTGCCGGGTTGCACCGGTGTCCACAAACCACTCCTTGGAATTGGATCCAACGAGGTTGACTTTCGTAACCACAACCGCTAGGATGATGTCTTCATCCTTTTTCTCACCTTGCACCAAATTGACTTGGGAGTCTTTCTTCTTCCGTGGTGCCTTGCAATCCGAGGACTTGTGTCCATTCTTGTTGCAATTGAAGCATTTTCCATTGAACTTCGTCTTGGAAACGCCTCCCTTGGGACCGAGCTTGCTCTTCCCATTATTTTTATTTTTGGAGCCTTTTGCATGCTCCACCACGTTGGCCTTGGCGCCATGAACAATTGGGAGTTTCCCATCATTCTTCCGGTTATCCTCTTCAATCCGCAGACGGAGGATCAATTGCTCCAAGTTTATTTCCTTTCGCTTGTGCTTAAGGTAGTTCTTGAAATCCTTCCAAGCCGGCGGCAATAAATGAATAATTGACGCCACTTGGAATGACTCACTAATTGTCATTCCTTCATCTCGAATTTCGTTGAAGATCATTTGCATCTCCTCAACTTGACTCAAGACCGTCTTCGAATCCACCATTTTAAAGTCAAGGAATCGACCAACAACAAATTTATTTGCGCCGGCATCCTCGCTTTTATATTTGTGGTCCAAAGCATTCCATAGCTCCTTAGCCGTAGCTAATTTGCTATAAACGTCGTACAAAGCATCATGCAGCCCGTTCAACACGTAGTTTCGGCAAAGGAAGTCAGAATGCTTCCAAGCTTCAACCGCGTTGAAAGATTGCACATCCACCTCACCCCCGGTTGCTACCGGCGCATCTTCGGTCAAGAATCTAGCAAGACCGAGAGTAGTGAGATAGAATAGCATCTTTTGCTGCCACATCTTGAAGTTTAACCCGTTGAATTTCTCGGGTTTCTCCACAGAGTTGCTTGGCACGGTCACCATAGGGATAGCCCTTTGGTTGGCCAAAGCAGATGCACCGCGTTGTGAACTATTGTTCACCGGTGCTCCGCTTTCAAAGTGATTGTCGTTCAGAACATTCTGCCCAACACCAATCTCATTTTCTTGAGAAGTCATTTTCGTTCTTTAACGTTTTTCCGAAAACACAAAAAAATAAGTTCGTTCACCAAAGTGACAAACTACGATTTAAGACTGTTTACCTCAGTAGAACAATCAAGAAATACGTTTTAAGATTGTATCTGTATGATACAAGCTCAACAAATACGTTTTAAGATTGCATCCGTATGATACAAGCTCAACAAATACGTTTTAAGATTGTAGGGTGTGTTTCGGAAAATAAAGAAAATTAATTAAAATTAATTAATTAAATAAAATGACTAGAGAAAAACAAGAAAGGAGATGAAACAGACTTAGTCAAAGCTCGTGCTACGCACGATTTCCTTAAAACGTATTTGTTGCCTCTCACGGTGCTAGGAGCGTTGCAACAATCGTTTCCCAGGATACGATGACTACGAACTAATGTTTGAGCACACAAACAAGAGTTCCAGCGAACGAGAACCAAGTATGAACACAGAAGGAATTTTCAGAGTAGCTGTAGGTGTTTTTAGCTCAAGAAATTCGTGAGGAAAGTATTGTGCGTTGTGTCAAACCGTGTATTTGTTGCAAAGCACCTGCCAGCTATTTATAGGAGGATTTGTTGTGTGTTAAATGGGGTGTTAATGGACCTGAACGTTGGACATCAATGACCAGTCCGTTGGGCATTGAATCGTCCATAAACTGTCCATTTAACGCAGCATTAAAAGAGAAGAACGTTGGGCATTAATGAAAAAATTCCACTTTTGGTCCCATGACTATTATGCCACTTCCACATTAATCCCCTGAGTTTCAATTTAACCAAATGTAGTCCTTGACCTTTTCCACGTAACCACCCGTGGTCCTTCCGACCACAATTCCGGCTAAATGTTACCGGAGACCAATTAATGAAGGGTAGTTGCGTCATTTAATAACATTTATTGGTTTGAAACCTAACTCCAACGTTTAAAGGCCATAAACGCAGACTCTCTAACCATAGCTTCTCCCTCGCTATACCTCCCTCGCCATAGCTACTGTGACCCCCAACAACGTTTGACTAATTTGAGTGGGTGCAGACAAGCATCTCACCATAGCTTCTCCGTCGCCATCTCTAGCTCAAAATCAGGTAGTTCAAACTGTACGGGCCAATATGAATATGGAGAGTGGATTCCGGTGAAGTATTGTGAATGTGGGCAACGAATGAAGATGTTGACAACTTGGAAACCAGAGAACTGTGGGAGAAGATTTTGGAAATGCATTGGAAGTCAGGTTATATATAGTTGTAATATATGAAATATTTTGAAATTCTATATTCGTTGGCTGAATTGGAAAATATATATGTTCTTGCAGAGATTTGAAGGTTGTGGTTTGATGGAGTGGTTTGACCCTCCGATGTGCAAAAGGTCTCAAAAAATAATCCCAGGATTACTGAAAAAACTGAATGGCTATGAAGAAAAAATCCATTCATTGGAATTGAAGGTTGAAACATTGGAGACAAACTGGTTCAAACCACAGAAGAAGAAGACAAAACGTAGTAACTGCATTACAGTAGTGTGCTTTATGTGTGTTGTGGTTATTATTGTTTCAGTGTGGTTGAAAGGCAAATAATGTAATGTAGTGAGGTGTGTGATGTTGTACTTGTAAAAGCTTTTTAAAACCTGTTGATTATCATGATTTCGTATGAAATGAAAGTTATATGATCATGATGTATGATAACTGATAACATATGTATGCTAACTGATAAGTTTAAAATGTGCTTAACACATATGTATGCTAACTGACAACCTTGACAACCTTGACAAACTTGACAAACTTGACAACCTGTTAATACATCACTACCATTGTTTGAACTTACATGAGATCATCCATAAACCTGACATCATTGAAAACCAAAATGCTAATCCATACATACATTACATCAGATCATCCAAATACATGATATCATTGAAAACCAAAATGCTAATCCATACATTACATGATCACGCTGAGATCATGAATAGCCAAAGTATCTCAAAAACATAGAAGCTATACCAATACAGTAGCATCATCAAAGTTGCATCAGTTCCAAAAAGCAAAAAATGTACTACATTACATCATCAAAGTAGCACCATGAATACACATTTTAGTCCACCCATTACTGTATATCAATGGGGTCATCATCATTTCCATAGAAGACTGATTTGAAAGTTGTTTTTGATCTAGTAGCATATGTTGGGCCCCTTTTAATGCTCAGTTTGGGTCTCGGATTCACTTTAGGTCGTTTGACTACATTTGAACTGCTCTTCTTTTGACAAGGGGGTGGTCCATAGCATATCCTAACCCCTTCTTTTGTCCTCTGGCCATCAATTTCCTTGAATTTGGATAGGGCAGCTTTATAAGAGTTAAGAGTGCATGCCTTGCTACATTCCCAAAGACAATCTTTTATGGCTTTCCCAGTAAAACCTGCAGCCTTCATGTTGCCATGTAGATGTCTCACACAAAATCTATGCTCAACACCGGGTAGCAATTCATTCACAGCCTGAATTAGCCCTTTCTGCTTGTCTGACATCAAAGTGAAAACATGCTCATTTCCTTCTGTGATTTCAGCATCCCTCTTCACAAGGTTCAAGAACCAAGCCCAGGATTCCCTACTTTTACCCTCAACAATAGCATAAGCTAGTGGAAATATGCTATTATTTGCATCAATTCCAATTGCAACTAAAAGTTGCCCCCCTTTAGCTGTTTTCAGATGGGTCCCATCAACCCCAAGCACTGGTCTACACTGTTTAAATCCTTCCCTGCAGGCTTCCCAACACATATACATCCTCAGAAATCTTTGTTGTCCATCCACTTCTACATTTTCACTCAATTTGACAACACATGTGCTCCCAGGATTGGTCCTTCTTATTTCAGCCACATATGACCATATCTTCTTGAAGTAATCTTCTTCTTCACCTCTCAGTTTTCTCTTGGCCTTACTTATTGCTCTATAAGCTTGCCTGAGACTCAAATGGAATCGTTCTTCAGTACATACTTTCTGTCTAAACTCTTTGGTTTTCCAATTTGAGTGACCCTCAATCTCCTTGAACCACCTATTTGCTACCTTGCTAGAGTTCACCATTTTGTTGTGATAGACCCAAGAGCAACCTTCATGTGTGTCATGGTACTTTAAAATCCTCCAAGAATGAGAGTTCATTACCTTTCTTAGATTCATCTTCCATGGGCAGCCTATATGCTTGCACTCCACAACAACCCGTTCCTTATCATTTTTGACAAACCTCACCTCTTTACCATTCTTAAATGCATGATTTTCCACAGCTTCTTTGAATTCCTGTTTGGTGCCAAATGTCAAACCCAGTTTAAAGGTAGGCTCTTTCATATCAGTCTTGGCACAGAATGTAGTCCACTTCTCAGAGTCACTGTCAGATTCATGTATGGAAGCATCATCAGACAAGTTAGGATCCGGGTCCACCATTGAAGCTTCAGTAACATTTTCTTCTCCTTCACTACTGCTGTTTAACCCTCCATGAGTAGACAACACAACATCCTCCTTAGAAATGAAGTCTTCCAAATCAGAGTCATCCTCATCCCCAGAAAAGTGTTCTAAGTCCTTCTCATTGAAGTCACTATCCTCAGGGTCATCATCATCTTTAGTGTTACCACTGGGTTCTAATTCTATCCAAAACTCCACCACCTTACCAACATTTCCACCATTCACAATCCCCCAAACCTCTGCCTCATTATTTAGTTGCTTTAGGGACTCATTCTCATGTGAATAGGAATACACAGTCATTACCTTTTTGGTGCAACCAAGTTCTTGTAATTTCTCATTCAACTCAATCAAACCGAACTCATCAACCTCTACATCATGAAAATTATGGATTGACCCTCCCAAGTATGCAGGTTTTTCCATGCGATTTACTTTTCCTCCATAAAACAACCTCAAAGTAAAAGTGTTTCCACAGTTGGCTGCAGCTGTTTTATAAATGAGGTCAATAGTGTGTTTAAATGGTCAACACAACACCATAAATGAATTTCATAATTATTAGTTCAAAAAAAAAGCATGTATGGGTCTAAACTTGCGTGAAGATACATGTGAACTGGTCCCATGTGTTAAATGGTAAAAGACAACCGGGTAGGGGAATCTAAGCCAAAAAACACATGCCTACCCTACCTTGTTTTGGAATAAAGGGAAAAAGGGAAAGGGGAACCTCAACATCAAACCCCTAGCATGTGCAAACACTGCAACCACCATATATATAAACCTCAGTTCAGCCTTATACGAGTATTATTTATTTTCTTCCACTGTTGTTAAAAAGTTGACCCACTTACCTTTATCAGCAGCATTTGTTCGAGAACGCCGTTCAGAGCTTGTTCCTTCTCCTTGACGCCGGCAGTCGAGACGGGTCCTCATTGTTCGAACGGTTTTGGAGATTTGTCGAGCTGACGGAAGCTTTCTTCAGAGGGAGAAGAGAGTTCGGTTTTTGAGGTAGAGGGAGACGACGGTATTAGCTCACAATTAAGTTAACTTAATTGAGTAGTTTATTAGGTAGCCGTTTTTATAATCTAAATTTACTAAAATGCCCCCAACTACCCTTCATTAAATGGTCTCCGGTAACATTTAGCCGGAATTGTGGCCGGAAGGACCACGGGTGGTTACGTGGAAAAGGTCAAGGACTACATTTGGTTAAATTGAAACTCAGGGGATTAATGTGGAAGTGGCGTAATAGTCATGGGACCAAAAGTGGATTTTTTTCGGCATTAATTGTTGTAACGGAAGAAATACGTGACAGAAGACCCCAATAGAACACCCCTTGGAGGGTTTCTGTCTGAAGCCAACAGAACTCCCCTTGGAGGGTTTCTGTTCGAAGCCAACAGAACTCCCCTTGGAGGGTTTCTGTTCGAAGCCAACAGAACACCCCTTCGAGGGGTTCTGTTCGAGGCCTTCTGTCCGGAGCACTTCTGAGAAAAAATAAACATTTCGGGAAGAAAACAAAAATTAACCGTATCTCTTGAGAGATAGATTTTTGGACGGCATTCGTGTCCGCAGGTCGCCCGCGCACACGAGTCGCGGTTTTTCTTCTCCGTTTCGGGATTTGATCGGCACCCCCCCTCCGCGTAAGAGAGAGCCTTTCCCTTTAGGAATCTTAACTCCTTAAAAGAGGCTTCCCTTTATAAGGGGGTGAAAATCCCTTGAGTTTTTCGGTGTGGGATAAAACACACTAGAAACTCACCATTTTCCCAGTTTTTCCATTTCAACGAGTGAACTTCGAGAATCAATTTCTCATTCACCCGTTATCCGTTTTGAGTGTACCACATATCGAATTGTAGCCCTTAACAAGGACAATCCGAAACCACTTTGACCCGACCCAAATCGGAAGTGGACCCACTCAAATAATTGCCCCAAAATGACCATTTAATGCAATTTTTAACACATTTTTCCAAAAGAATCTTCAACTGTAGCTGAGGTATCCACTGAATCCTCAACTTGCTTTCTCAAAGAGTCTGTTTTTGCTGATAGTTCTGGCCATGTGTCCTTCCATTTCTGCAGGTCAAAATGAGATCTAGGTTGCTTCCCATTTGAAGCATACTCTATTTCTCACAAGGCTTCATCCAAGTCCAACTACTTTTGTAAGTCTTGAATATGTAGATCATCTTTAAAGGTTGAGATATCAATATGACCTTTATTATGAATACTAGGGATCTCATCACGCTGAAGCAACTGACTAACCTCCTGATGATTAAGGGTTTGAAGTGGCTCAAGCAATATAGGTTGATCTTCAGTGTCCGGAAATATCTCTTCTCCACCAGAGTCTTCAATATGAGTTGCAATCATCCGTGTAGATGTCGATGGCATATCATGTTCTTTTGCAGTAATCTGTGTTGTAAACTTAACACTCTTTGGTTTTTCCACCCATTTTTCTTTAGCCACAACTGCTTTAGAGACCTCAGTAGGATATTTGGGGCATTTAGCTGCAGAATGACCCAAATGATAACATAAAGAGCAGTATTCTGGCCTGTTCCCATAGATAACATGTTGGGAGAATCCATTAGACCCACAATTTACCCGGTCCTTTGTTGGCATCTCTTTTGTCAGATCCATCTCCACGCAGATTCTTGCGACCGAAGGCCTAGCCAAAGTGGTTGTGGCCGAGTCAATGTGAAGGGGATTTCCAATTAATCCAGCAATCGCAAATAAAGCTCTTTTATCTTGCAAGTGAATTGGTAACCCTTCAAATGCGAACCACATCAGAACCACTGACGATTCCACGTTTGGTCTGAAAACTAGTTTGTTGCTTTAAAATCCAACCATAATCCGAATTTGATCACTAGACTAGTTTTCGAAATGGTAAAGAATTCATAAACAAGATATGCAAATTCTTTCGAAATGATATTTAATTCATCTGCACTATCTCCTCTCTCGAAGGTCTCACTTCTCTTGTATATCAAAATTATTTTGATCATTAAGATATGCAAATTCTTTAGAGGTATATATTTGTTTTTTTTATTTGTTTCCATCAATTCTTCTCATTTCTGCAAATTAGTTTTCATCTGCAAATCATTTATCGCTTACCCGGTTACCCCGATTTATTTCTTTATGTTAGTTCATAAAATCTGCCTACCCCAATATGTAATTGTGTGTTGAATTCGTCTAACCCGCTTCATCAAAATTACAAGTCGAAAAGGAGAGAACCTATTGGCGATGAAGATGAAATCCTGCCAAGTTGTGTTCTGAAGCTCTTGTATGGTATTACAGTAGTACAATACTTCATTCAACATTTTTTCAATTTCATTTCAAGTTGGTCCCGTTCCGATCACATTGTTGCTATAAACAATAACTAAAAATAAATAAATATGAAGTATATACTTATGTCCATATAAGTCTTTTTACATTCTAACAACTATTTTTAATCAGCTAATTTTACCAAACATTTCTTGATAACGAGCTAACATAACTAGTCAATCGATACAACCAACAAAATCCGCTATTATCAAACCACTATTATAATCAGCCACCGCTAACAGTCAATTGTCGATGACCAAACAAGGCCTATGTCAACTTCAAGAGTCTTAAATAGTAAATATACACTTATTCACTTTATATGTAAATAAATAAATACGACTTTCTACATATTTATTTTTATTGTATTCTTTATAGGTATATCTTTAAACAAAAATCTCTTTTTATAAAGTGTTACTTTCAATTATTTATCACTTTTCAAATTAATTCGTACATTATCTTTTTCACATAGTTTAAAAATGACGTTATAAGTGTATCTACACTATAAAGTATAGAGAATATTAGTACAATAATAATATAATACACGTAGTATTTTATTAGTGCACTATAACTACATTTTGGTAAACAAAATTCAAAAAAGAAATGTTAGTATAGAGAATATTAGTACAATAATAATATAATATGCGTAGTATTTTATTAGAGCACTATAACTTTTTTCTTGTAAACAAAATTCAAAAAAGAAATGTTACAATTAATCTGAAACAACGCGAAAAGAAGAGGAAGTAATATTTACTTCAATCACAAATAATGCAGGTATTGTGCATAAAAATTATAATGCACCCTAATATTTATTTTCCCTAATCAAAGGAAAAAAATTCTCTGAAATCCATTAGTCTTTAAGCAGTACAATCAGTGTATACACTACTGCCGTCCAGCCGCCGTCGTTTGGGGCGGTTTCCGGTGATTTTTTGACGATTTTTGACGTGTTTCTCATTAAGTCTAGTTTGTACACAAAAAATCTCAGCTAAAAATTCATTGAGAAAGTAGTCAAATGATTTTTTGGAAAATAACTGCGTTTTATATGTATATTTTGGCGCAATTATCGTCAATAACTTATTTGACTGCCTTCCCGATCGAGTTCTTAGCTGAAATTCTTTGAGCATAAAGTAGACTTGATAAAGAACATTCTCAAAAAATTTAAAGAACATATTTTCACTGGGAATCACAACATAGTTCATGTCCCTCCTGCTAGAGAGGATCATTCCTCTACACTACTCGGTAATATTCCGTATACGAAGTACTCCCTCCGTCTCATTAGAAGGTTCTCACTTTCATTTTTTGAATGTCCCTTATAAAAGTTCCTATTTCCATTTTAGGAAACAATTAACAATCTTAAATGACAAATTAATTATTAAATATTAAAAATAATACATTTATAAGATCACAGTTATCAATACTAACAACATTATAATATATACCTATTAAAATTATTTCTCAAAATATACTCTAGATATTTTACTTAGAGCCTGTTTGGTGACCCTTTTTTTCGACTTATCAGGCTTATCAGCCAGCTTTTTCACCAAACACGTAACTTTTGATTTCGCGCGCTGAATTGTGTAATAAGCAGAAAAAAAGTAAGATTGTAGTTACTTTTCTGGCTGTATTGGCTGAAGTTACTGTAGAGGATCATTTTAGCTATTTTTTCATATAATATTTTATTTTATTTATTAATAACAAATATTTTAAATATAATTTTTTCATTAATCAGCAGAATCAGCCAATACAGCCACTTCAGCCAGAACTTCATAAATTTCAGCAGAATCAGCCAATTTTTAGTGTTACCAAACGAGCTCTTAATTATTGTCTAAATAACCGTGACATTTTGATATTAGACATTCCTAGTGAGGTAGTATTTTACTCAGAATTGTAGAGATACAATTGAATGGATGCATCGAAATTAGAAACTGAATATTTCCAAATTTGGGGTTTTACTGCCCATTCATTGATCATCGACTCATGTATAGGAGGTGGTGCAGTGGCGGTCTAAAGGCGAATGTCCCAATGGGAGTACATCAGTCTCCAGTCCCTTGCTTCATACTCCAAATTGGTGTTAGTTTTGGCAGACAATGCGTGCCCGAGAATTCCGCAAAGAACTAGAGTACATATTCCTCTTTCATCATCACAGCCCATAAAGCGAGGCCGCAGACGAGTGACCGGAGACTCGGAGACGGAGAGCGCAGCAACAGCATTAAAGTCTCAATTTTTACCATTGACGCCGATTATTGTCCAAAAAAGAAAACTTTCTCCCTTCACTGGAGCCTTTCGTACTCCAGACCTACCTGGATCCGATCTAAACTGCCCTCTCTGAACTTCTCATTGCTCCCTGCTGGTAACTGTATACAATTTCGTGCTCTGTTGGCCTCGATCATTCTGTCATCCTCCCAATCAAGAAAAGGTTTAATCTTTATGGGAATTTGATTCGAATTGGTCAACTAAAGCCGTGAGTTACTGAAGCTAGGGTTCCTTGGGAGAAGGGTGTCAGATCTCTAGTTGAGGCCTGTAAAAATCAGGGCTTTTTGATCTTTCGCAGTGTCTTTTGGATACGGTTTGTGTGTGTGTATGAGGATTTGGCGTTGCTTGTGTTTCGGTGAAGAAGAAGAGCACAGGGAAGGAAGAAAGGGTATGCGAGAGGGAATCTCCGGGACTGCAAGTAAGGATATGGAGAATGACGAGTCTCAAAACTTAAGGATAGGTTTTCAGTGCGACGAACAGCTGGTAGAAGAAGTGGAGTTATTGTCACGAGCTACTGTAGACAATGCCTATCACTCTGAGGGGCTTGGGTATGATAGAGCATTTGGTAGTGAGAATTTGCAAGCTTATCATCAATTGGCATCAAGAAGCAGTAGTAGCCGTCATAATGCTGTGGGTGTGAATTTGAATTTGAGCTTGAGTGAAGAGCCTTCATCCTCAACAGCATTAAAGCAAGATAACTCCGATTCTCATAATAAAAGGCCCAAAGTTCAACCCTTTTCACTGTAATTCCCCATACTCACTCTATCTCTCAGTTTAAATTACCAGTGGTGATTTGTGTGTAATTTAGTTTCAATTATACAAAAAGACTATATTTGCATCACCTCTTTCCCTAGGTTCACATAGACATGCACATATATGACTCTTGTTCTCACAGTTGTCCTGTCATGTCATTTTCTTGTACACACAGCTGAGTTTCTCATGCCTTTGCGAACAAAAAATGAAATTGGTGTAAAAGCTGTGTACAGACATTTTTATTATTTATTTCCACGTGTCACTTATTTGTCAATGCATAGTGTTAGGATTTTTATTATATTTTTGTTAGGATTTTTTTTACTGAAGTTGATAAAATCCAGAGGCTTCAGTTTTGTCTGTCAGGAATATTTTCTTATGGTTGTTGTACTAAGTCTAAGTGGAATCCAACTGTCCATTAAGAGTTTGTATTAATCCCAACATAGATTAACAAGTCTAGTTGTCCAAAATGTACACCTGGGAAAAAAAACTTACTCTGGGAAGTGATGATTTAAGGAGCTCTTACTATGCTTTATTCAGGTCTTTGTACGCTTCTATCAATGGAAAGGGTCAAGAGTTTAGTTGGCATCACATATATTACTAATCTATAAATTTAGATGAATTTGAATCATTTTTTTCCTTTCAAATTTGTTCTTATTTGTTTGAATGCGATCCATCAGATGATAAAATATTGTTGCCGTGCTGCCCAACTTGTTATTTTCTCCTTTTCCTCATTCTGACATTGACATTAAAAAAGAAAAAGAACATGAGTTCGGTCATCATTCATGCTTATTTGTTGTTTTTTCTTCAAGTGTGTTTGAACTACAATGTATCAATAAATACTCCACCATCTTATTATGAACTTCAACTGTTTCCCCTTTTTGGTTGTCTACTTGTCTCACAAGTAACTTCACTTTCCTATTAAGTAAAAATATATTTTCTTAATTAACGTGGCCAATATGATGTTTATATACAGAATGGATTTTACAATGAACTTGCGAACTTTTCATTCAGTTGTATTATTCCTTACCTGATTTATTGTAATGACTATTGAGCTGTTGCAGTGATTGGGATAGTCCTTTTCTAGAAGAGTTTTGTTATAGTCGTCCCGTACATGATGTCAGTGATGAGAATCCATCAATGTTCACTGCTGTTGATGACCAAATAAATGATGACAGTTCAGTAGAGGATTTAGAAGCTCGGATGTATCTTACAGATGACTTATTGCACATGGTATATCCGTGCACATAACAATAATCCAAGAAATAGTCACTACTTTTTAGCTATTGTCAGTGTTATCATTTATGCTTATGAGTTTGAGAACATACTTCCGATGTGCTCGCAGGTCTTCTCATTTTTGGGCCAAATTGATCTTTGTCGAGCTGCAAGGGTTTGCAGGCAATGGAGGGCATCCAGCTCTCATGAAGATTTTTGGCGTTACCTCAATTTTGAGAACAGGCTCATATCCTCTGATCAATGTGAGCTTATTATTATTATTAGGAAAATTCACCCAAGTAAACCCAACTATCAGTGGTCTTCCCATACAAATCTGAACTATGTGTTATTCCAAATTACTCCAAAATTTATTGATAATCTTCTCAAATTGATCTAAGATAACCTGCGATCTACTAAACTAGTAAACAAAAGAAAAAACGTGGAATACTGAACAGCCCAGGTATCATAAGGTTTGAAACCTATTTGGTTGACTCCATTCCGTGTAATATTTTCTTGAGAGTGCCAATAATCCATGGATTTCTCACAAAAGCTTAAAGAATATCATATGAAAATCCTCACTTCTTATAACCATGTTCAGTCTTTTCCCAAGTCGAATTAGTCGTGCAACCGTAAATGTTCTTCTGGATGGATCAAACCCCCATCCCTCGATTTCCTCTAGAATCATTATTAACTTATCCTTGTGAACAACCTACTCTGGTCTTTTGAATAAGGATACTGCTTAGAATCAGGAACTTGAAGATTGTCTGAACCAATGATGTTCTAATGATTGCATAGCAGGAGTTGAGGGCATTTTCAAACTATTTCTGATATCTGTTCTTTCGTCAATCCATGAGATGTAATGGAGAGTTAAAACATTTTCCTCATATGAGAAAAAGACGTTTTAGATGATGGAATACAGCCACCTCACTTTTTAGGTATGTAGAAAAGTTTTTTTGGGGACTAGAAAACATTAAACATGTTTACTTTATCAGGTTTCCAAATGTAAATAAAAGAAAACATGCTCATTTCAGAAGTTTTTCAGATTTTAAAAGAGTAAATTCTTCTCAATTTATCTCAGATAACTAGCAAAAACATTTTTACTTTCTCTTAAACATAATATAGCTCTCCAGAACTAAAAACCAATCACTGATGGCATCCACGACCACCCACATACTCCACCGCAACTCTTATAACAATCTGTGAAGCCCCACTACCACCGTTAGTGTCCCACCCCACTCCTATAGTCCTATCCCCGGTAATTCCTGTCAATGCAAAAGAGTCTATACCACAAGTGACTATCTTTATACAAACCACCTATAACTGTTGATGTTGTGGACTACCACCTATAACTATGAGCATCACTGTCAACCACCACCATCGCCAACCACTGTTTTGCCATTGCCAGTGGGTTGCCGGTCACCGCTGCCTGCATCAACCCCCATCAGCTGCTGTTACGGGCTTACGGCTGCTGACCATCGCCAATGGCGTTGAGGGCAGCCATCAACCACAATCATCATTGCTGTTCACCAGTGACTTCAGCCTCTATGGATGACCACTGCCACTTCGAACAATGACAAGAGGTGGTCACGTCGCCACATTTGTGATATTGGAAATATGTCCTGTTAGCATGTTTTCCATATATGATTTGTATCTCAATTGGATGAATAATCAAGATAAAACTGCTAAGGTTTCATCTTCTTGTGACGCAATTAAATGTGCTACTTGACATGTGTGAATTATGTGAACATAACTTGTCAAGTTTCACCAACTTCTTTGAAGAAGATCGTTTACCCTATGCAAGTTCAATCTGTTCTTATACGTATGATTATAGAGAGCAATCATGGGAGGGCTGCTTTATCTCTCTCTCTCTCTCTCCCCCCCTTTTTTTACTTCTGAACTTCTTCGTGGCTGTTTTCATGTTAATAGGTTGTATCAGACATACGTTTCCCCTCACTATCATGTTTCATATTTGCAGTTGAAGATATTTGTGATCGTTATCCAAATGCCACTGCTGTTAATTTTTATGGTGGAGGCACACATGCTATTCACTCACTTGCACTGAAAGCAGTTTATTCTTTACGGTAATTGACATTTGATTGTGGTGCATAATAATGATAGATGCAATGTATAAATCTGACTCTTATTTTTCGCCAGAAACCTTGAGGCTCTTACCTTGAGCAAAGGTCAATTTGGAGAAACATTATTCCAAGCTCTACCTGACTGCCATGTGTTGAATACCTTAGTCATTAGTGATTCTACTCTTGGAAATGGTATTCAGGAAATACCTATTTACCATGAAAGGTTGCGTTGCCTTCAGCTTGTGAAGTGCCGGGTACTTAGAGTTTCTGTCAGGTTAACGTGTAAATAAACATCTATAAGAATTGACAAGTTTAACTTGCATCAAACGTTTTCATTACAGGTGTTCTATTTTTTTCTTTTGCAGGTGTCCTCTTCTTGAAACTTTGTCCCTAAAACGGAGTACCATGCCCCATGCTGCTCTAAACTGCCCGCTTTTACGTGACCTTGATATAGCTTCATGTCACAAGCTTTCAGATGCTGCTATTCGTTCAGCAGCAACCTCATGTTCACTCTTAGAATCCTTGGATATGTCAAACTGTTCATGTGCTAGTGATGAAACACTGCGTGAAATATCCCTTACCTGCTCGAGTCTCCGTGTTCTTGATGCCTCATATTGCCCAAACATCTCTCTTGAGGTCAGATTTAGTATCCGTTCTGTGCATGCCACCACCTGATGTCAAAATACTTTTCTATTAGGGCATGTATGAAAGGAGGAGAAAGCTAGGGAAAGAATGTAGGTGATGCCTTTTTTGGAAACATTAATAAAAGGAAAAGACTGAAAAGTGGAAGGGATAGAAAACCTGATGAACCTGATGAAAGGGAAGCAGAAGATCTTGACTGTCTCCTACCACCCACCTTGAGGGCAAGGTGGATGTTTAGGGAGGGAGTATTGTTAGAGACTCTACTAAACCGAGGAGAGAAAATAAATACTTTGGCAAAGTATATTCTAGAAGGAAGTAGAGTTAGTTATTAGTTAAAGTTGTAGTTAGCTAATAACTGTTTCCGGTTAGTAGGAGTTACATACTTACTATAAATAGTAGTAAGCTGAATATTGTAAGGAGGCTGTTTTTCTGACTTTAGTCATTCTGGGGGGCTTCGGCTCCTTGTTGCCTTGAGAAATAAAGTTTACGCAGATTTCTTTCTTGTAGAATTTCTGTGAATTGTTTGTAGAATTTGCAGAGTTCTAACAGATCCACGTAGTTCGGTTTCCTACTCTATTATATTTGAATTGATTCCTTTGTGATCTCGCTTTCCTTTTTAAGCTATTATGATTGTTATAATTCTGCTACGGATAAGGAGTTCGCTATTGAGGAGAGAAACACCGTAAAATTCCAAGTTTTTTTGTGCCTTTCCATTAGTCCTATTTTATGCCTTCAGCTGCATACCCCTTTTTCACCATAAGCAAACCAGCATCACACACAAATACCTCAATCGCTTATTGATGCCAGCCTTCTTCCGTAAACATAACATTTTGATTCTACTGACGGGTGCTGAAATGGTCGGCTCAAAAGCTTTGACTGTGGATGTTTGTGCCCTCCAAACTGCTGTGCGATCTTTTGTCGGCTTGGCTGAAGCAGTATATTCGTTGACCACCACACAATGACACACTGGCTGCATTGCAACACAAAATCGAATCCACTAGATGTTTGTTTACCAGCTCTGTGTTAATATATAAAATATAAGTATGAAGGTAGCCTCACTGGGATGAGTTAGGCCAATTTTAATATGGTAGAACTTAGAAGTGTTGATCCGATTGTGGTTTGCCTGACGCCCTGACATCCATAGTTTATTATAGCCTTTTGGGGTTGGTTTTGTCAATTAATTCAACCTTTAAGTTGTCCAGACTTGTTAGGATTGAAAGGGCATGTAAAGTGTCCACATAAGGTGTTTATCGTGGCTGATAAGTATGTATGAAGTAAATCTGACCTCTTAGTGGTTCTCTCTCGGGGTGAGCCAAAGCTAGTGTACTCAAAACAGAGTGGTAGGGCAATAGACGAGTTCATCGAGGACTTCTATAGCTTGTTAGCATGAGTAGACAAGGTTCGTCCTTACCAAGTTCATTTTTAACTGTTATTCCGATGGTCTCAGGATTGACGTAGAACAACCCCCCACTGTCCCTTGTTGAAGCCATCAATGTGGCTCGTGACTCTGAGTCTCTGACTAGAAAATAAAATCACAAAGTTTGTCTTTCCTTGAGGAGAGTAGTTATATTTTAGGAACACTCTATAATAAGAAACGGCTTAGACGAATAGCCTGAGGGTTGGGTAAAAGTTTGAGGGGTGTTGATTGATTGAAGATTGCTTAAATTCTGCTTAGTTTGATTTCCTTCATTATTTTATTTGACATTATCTGCTGTCATCTTACTTTCCTGGTTTAAGCTATTATGAATGCTGTAATCCGTGATATAAAAAGATAGCTTTGCATTCTTAATAATGAGACAAGTGGTATGCAATGAAGAAACTCCATAACTCTAAGTTCATTTCAAGTCCCTCTATCCGTTTTCTTACATTCACCTGGATACACCTTTTCGCCTTAGGCTAACCACTTCATGCATAAACATAACAGTAGGAAGGAAAGTACAGAAGATAATTGGAAGAAAATACAATTTGGTGTAAAATAAAGGATAGATCCAAAACTGAATCATATATTTTAGATTATACTTGTTGAAACTATTCGTTTTTATATTTCTGTAATGCAAAGTCTAAGAGATTTAAATTTAAGTGCATGTTTTGTTTTTCAAACTAATCATATTCCATATTTCCTTCCATTTTCCAAGGCTAAGACAGAAGTAAAAAATAACTTTCCTTATGATTTGTTTTTCCTTCTCTAGTATTTTCCAACAGTACCTTCAATATACACACTGACACTTTGTGTTTGGACTTTGGATACCACACTGACTCCCCCTTTTCCCTTGCAGTCTGTTAGGCTTACAACATTAGAAGTGCTTAAGCTTCACAGTTGTGAAGGAATCACTTCAGCCTCGATGTCTGCAATAGCTTTCAGCTATACTTTAGAGGTATGGCTCATCGATTTCTCACTCTTATTATCACCTGCGCATTTTCTTAAATATTCTGATACGTACTACGTCTGTGGCTCTGTCTCAAAGTGAAAGTAACAGTTGCTATTCACTGGTCCATACAGTTCACCTCCTATGTGAAATTTTATTTATCATATTTTTATCATATTTAAATTATTTTTTTGCAATTTCATAGAGTTTTATGATGTCTTAGAATATGTAGATATTAAGTTCTCATTCCAGTGATAATACTGTCAGTACAGAGCTTATTTTATCATCAGTCAAACCTCAAAATTCACCATGTTATTTTCATTTGGTGACAGAGAGTAGTGCTGGTACTTGGTAAACTGTTTTTTGAATGACTAACAAATTGTAATATTGGAAATGTATAGGTTCTGGAGCTTGATAACTGCAACTTGTTAACATCAGTGTCTTTGGATCTTCCTATGCTAAAAAGCATAAGGCTCGTACATTGCCGCAAGTATGATGCTTTCATTTTCTTGATAGCCCTTGGGGAAATGGACATTCTTTCTTAAGCAGTTATATGTCAAATTTGCATTCCTTTGTGGTGGCTCTGATCTCTCCTTGTTACTCATTTGTTTTCTTTTCAGATTTGCTGATCTGAACCTCCGAAGTGATAAGCTATCATCGATTACCATTTCTAATTGTCCTTTGCTCCAGCGAATTAGCATCACTTCAAACTCTCTCAAGGTGTCCAGCATTTGCTAATGTTCCATTTTAGCTCAAGAGAATATCCTGTGTGGGTCATGAACATCTGTAATAGTGATTTAATTATTACTACTTGTGTATGCAGAAACTGGTGTTGCAAAAACAAGAATGCTTGATCTCCTTAGCATTGCAATGTCCCAGTTTGCAAGAAGTGGACCTTACTGAGTGTGAATGCCTGACAAATTCTGTCTGTGAAGTTTTCAGAGAAGATGGTGGCTGCCCTAAGCTGAAATCCTTGGTTCTTGATAATTGTGAGGTTTGTAGTAGCATTTCTTTTCATTGTTCCAATCACCCTGGTTACCCGACTTGCTTTTGCTAGATGTTGTTGGGGCCCATGACTCATTTTGCTTATATCATTAGTGAACTGAATAACTGATCAATGAGTACCATATTGTGCACCAAATTGTGGTGCATCCAGTTTTTTTGGGTAATCTTGAATCATGTCTTGCATGCGATATCATGAGTAATCAATGAGGTTATGTGTAGATTTGAGATTTCAGTACATCTGGTATGAGTGGTCAGTGAGGGTAATGTGTGGACTTGAGATGCGCTCTCCTTTCTCCTGCTTCTATTTTCTATATCATGCAATTTATATTTTCTTTTTTGAATTCTAATATAACAAACAACAACATCCAAGCCTTAGTCCTAAAAGATTTTGGGGTCGGCTCATTTTTGAATTCTAATACTCCTTCCGTCCCATTAAAAGGTTCTCGTCCACTATTCCCCGGTCGACGTGAATTGTTCTTAATGTTTTACTTTATATATCAAACTTTTATCAAATTTAATTTTTCTTTTTGTGACATTATAAAACATTTAATGTAGTATCTGAATATTTAAATTTTATTTACTAAAAATAATCTTATTAATGACAGGGATCGATTAACTTTATGATCAGTCAAACATCGTAAACCGCGTGGGGACCTTTAAATGGGACGGAGGGAGTACTTTTTTAATTTGCATCTTCAAGATATCTGATTAAATTTTCAATTTCTTAAATTTGTTTGCAATGATCCAGGGCTTGACAGCAATTGAATTTTCCTGTACTAAATTGAACACTCTTTCCCTAGCTGGTTGTCGAGGTTTAACATCACTGGAACTAAGATGCCCTTATCTTCAGCAAGTCTCGTTAGATGGCTGTGATCATCTTGAAAGAGCTTCCTTTTGTCCTGTAAGTGGAATCATCCGTAGTCATATACTCCCTCCGTCCCATAAAACTTGGCCAATGTTGACTTGTACGTAGATTAATAAAGTAAAAACTGTGTGGTAGATATTTGTGCAGAGGAGAGAGAAATAACTTTAGCCACATATTTGTTACTTTAAATGGAAATGGCAAAGTTTTTTGGGACGACCAGAAAAGGAAAGTTGGCCAAGTTTTATGGGACGGAGGTAGTAGTTATTTGTATAATGTGATGTTTATTTATCCGTCTCTGAAGTGATGCGTACAATTTTTCCAAATCTCTTAATATGCTTTAGGCAATGATTATTCTCATCTTTTGACCCACACTGCCACCATAAAATCTATTTTGACTAACTCTTTTCATATGACACACTCAAAAAATTTGTCTTTTGACAATGTTTTCCAAAATGTCAAAGTCACCCCACATTGGACAAGTGTAAAAATATGAACAAACAAATGCTGAGTACAACCTTAGGCTACCCTTCATATCAAATTGACATTTTATGCTGAGATTCTGATGAGATTCTAAATCATAATACAAAGTTTCTCAATGTTTATTATGCCCTTGTTCAGGTTGGACTTAGATCTCTTAACCTTGGTATATGTCCCAAACTGAGTTTGCTGCATATTGACGCACCACATATGACATCACTTGAATTGAAGGGCTGTGGCGTACTTTCCGAAGCATCAATTAATTGCCCAGTCCTGACTGCTTTGGATGCTTCATTTTGCAGGTCATTTTGTTACTTTTTCTGGTACATTCTCTTGGTAAAGTCTAGAAGTGTCTAGGTGGTGCTAAGCTTCATCAATTGGCCTAGGCACTGAGTAATTATATCTTGACATATGGGTGAAGTGTCTGACAAGTCATAACTTGAATTTGAGGTGTTTAGCTTTAAAGACTTCTATGATCAAAGTAGAGTTGTCATTTAGGTCTTGTATCTGTTCCTAAGTAATTCTGTACTTATTATTCACTAACTTTCTCAAGCTATATGCAATTATCTCTGTAATTTATCTTCGTCATACACTATTTATACATAACTCAGAAGTTAGAATTGATGAAGTCTAGACAAAAGGTTAAGGAGCAAATATTTCTAGGACCTACTAATCTCTGCCTAGTCCCTTTTATGACAGTGTCCTTGTTAGGCTCTTACTAACTTTGTGCCCCTGTATAACATACTGATGATGCTACTGCTTGTTTTGGTTCTTTTTCCAGCCAACTTAAGGATGACTGTTTATCTGCCACAACAAATTCGTGTCTTCTCATCAAGTCATTGGTATTAATGTCATGCCCATCAGTTGGTTCTGATGGACTCTTGTCTTTACGCGGGCTTCCAGATTTGACTTATCTTGACCTATCGTACACCTTCCTGGTCAATTTGCAGCCTGTTTATGACTCTTGCCTGCGGTTGAAGGTACTTTTCTTTCTGCAGACCTTTTTTTAAATGTTTTTATTGCAGTTCAATCATTAAACATGCATTTTTTATTATTTATACCTAGATATTTATATACACATGTGGGCTTTCATAGTAAAGGCTTACATTTAGGGAACCCTTCTGCCATTGCACTCTTGTTCAACTACTAACTAAACATGATTTGGTTCCCACTAGGTTGGGTTTATTAGTATTGTCCCTTTTGTTTGGTCTTTAGTTTCTAGAATAACCAAATAGTGTTTAGAGTCTAGATTTTTCACAGGAGTATTTATTTCTTGAATTGTCTTGTACATTGTAATATCTAGAGATGAAAATTGTCTAGAATTGGTGAAGTCTATAATTTCTCTTAAGAGCCCTGTACATAGAGATGCCATCTTACTGCGCTTTATCAAATTAAAAATAACATGAAGCCCTTTCTAAAGTTGAGTCTTTAATTCAACTGCTTCCCCCACACCATTAGTAACTGAGAGAAGTACCTGCAGTAGTTATGTTTACATTTTCACTGCATTAAGTATAATATTTTTGTTACAACTTCTCATTCATATTTCATAATTATTACATATGGGGATCATGACACTTTGTCTGAGTTATACCCCTTATGTGATGTCACAAACTCTCCTTTGTCAGTCCTTTAAGTTTTCTCAAAGTGACCTTTTCAGTGTTCAATCTCAAAACCGTAATTGAGGAGTACTTAAATAGCTACATCTGGCAAATGGAGGACTGAAAATGTCGACACTAGCAATCTGCGTACTAAAAAGTGTACCAATGATATACCTCGGGGACAAAAAGTGCTATATTTTCTTTTGTATTGGCATCTTGTTATAAACTGCTGGTCCTTATTCTGCTATCGTTCATATAGGTACTGAAATTGCAAGCATGCAAGTATCTTAGTGATACATCTTTGGAACCTCTTTACAAAGAAAATGCTCTCCCTTACCTGATTGAGTTGGACTTGTCGTATGGGACACTCTGCCAGTCTGCCATTGAGGAATTGCTTGCTTTCTGTACACATTTAACCCACGTTAGCTTGAATGGGTGCATAAATATGCATGACTTGGATTGGAGCGGAAATGGAATTTCCCATACCACGTCGACATTTGCATCAGCTGTATGTGACATCCGCATCACAAACAAACAGCTAACAAATCGTTTGCTGCAGAATCTCAACTGTGTTGGCTGTCCTAACATCAAGAAGGTGGTAATTCCCATGGCGCGATGCTTCCTTTTGTCATCACTAAATCTGTCCCTCTCTGCAAATCTGAAGGAAGTCAATGTTGTTTGTTCCAACTTGTCTTCTCTCAATTTAAGGTACACTTATCTTCTTCCATAGTATGACTAGTACTGCTTATTCACCATGTTTGTAGAACGATTCGATTACTATTGATCAACTCATTTCTTCATTATCAGTAACTGTTGTGCTCTGGAAATATTGAAGCTTGAGTGTCCCAGATTGAACAACCTATTCCTTCAGGTGAACATGTCTTTCGTGCTCCAAGCTTTTAATCACGGCGAAATTGCATTTTAAATCCCTCCAATCGTTTCCAAACATGTTTCTGAGACATGTATTCCAATATTTGTTAATTTAGTCCCTAACTGTTACTTCCTCCATTCATTTATAGTTGCAACATTCCCAGTTCCGCGCTTGCCAAAACACAACTTTAATTCTTTATTTGTAAAAAAAATTAAAAATCAGATTATTAAAATTTGTAATGAGATGAATTCAACAATATAAAAAAAGTCTCATACATTAATAAATAAAATATAGTCAAAGTAGAGAATGTGAATAGTGCTAAATTGTCAATTTTGCAACTAAAAGAAACGGAGGATAGTATAATTTAGATATAAAAAGTATGAACCACATTATTCTGCTCTGCAGTTTGCATAATATGTGTGTGACTTTCTCATGTCCAATGATAGTGGGGTGGAGGCAGTCAGATATATGTTGGAATTCTCGGCATTCTATATTGCCAAGAATGTCACAGAAACCATAGACACCATACTAAATTGTTATTCTAACGGAGGTCTAATTTTCATCTCAGTTGTAACTATCAAGGGATAAAATTCACAAAACCTGAAAGACAGGTCTATATTACGTTATGTAACCAATGAAGGATTAAAAGTGTGACTTCTCCATTTAATAATTTGTTAGGGGGTTATCTTTGATGCACATAATCACTTGGGGTGTTGGTAGGTGGCATTTAATCATATCATAAACCATTATGAAAAGTTCATTGAAACATTTCTTACCACTGTTGCCCTTCAGAACAAGTAACGTTTCCCATGTTATGTTTCTCGTTTTACATTTTTTTGTGTGTTTATTTGTCGGTGCAACATAAAAGTGTCCTCTATCCATCCCAATGTAAGGTTCTCGGTATAAAATTAACTCTTTGGTAATATTCAAACTAATTTTAATTATTTAAGCTCACATATTTAGAGACTACACTAAAAGTTCTATTTAACCTCAAAAATTAAATTCCAATGTGATAATTGCCCTTCAGAACAAGTAACGTTTCCCATGTTATGTTTCTCGTTTTACATTTTTTTGTGTGTTTATTTGTCGGTGCAACATAAAAGTGTCCTCTATCCATCCCAATGTAAGGTTCTCGGTATAAAATTAACTCTTTGGTAATATTCGAACTAATTTTAATTATTTAAGCTCACATATTTAGAGACTACACTAAAAGTTCTATTTAACCTCAAAAATTAAATTCCAATGTGATATAAAATTATTGTATGAAATCAGTCACTAAAAGAAAGTTACATAGACTGCATGAATTGTGTATGGAACCTTAGATTGGGGTGGAGGAAGTCGATATACGGTGTACTGTTTATTATTTCTCACGATCTTGCTCCTGCTTTATCCTGTTTTGCCTCACCTTGTTTTGATTTGTCCGGTTTTTGCTTTGGATTAATAATCACTAGTCTTGCAACATTGACGAGGAAGCTGTTGAAGCTGCTATATTCAGGTGTACCATGCTAGAGACGCTTGATGTCCGTTTTTGTCCGAAGGTAAGTCCGTTTTATTTATGTTTTCACTACTACTATTGCTTCGACAATATTTAATATGCATATTGTACTTCCTTGTGGTTTGTGACAGATATGCCCATTGAGCATCGGGAAGCTGCGAGTTGCCTGCCCCGGCTTGAAACGCATCTACAGCAGCCTGGCACCCCCTTGATGCTCAAATTGCAACTCCACCACGTCTGGGCTCTGCAATCCATGCTTTCATCAATTTCCAATTTTCACTTTTAGTTGTTTAAGATCGAAGGCGTGTCTTCTCATGATTTGTGATTATCTAAAAATAGCGCTTCTTTCTTGTGCGTTTATCAAATTCCAATAATATTTCGTCTTACTACTATTACTCTCAAGTCGCAATGTTGATTCTTTAGCGACCAAGGGCTTGTAGTCGATAGATGTTATTCAATAAGACACATATGGCATAATATAATGCCAAAGTAACCCGAGGTTGTATTGTATATGCATAAATACTTGTAGTTTGTGAAAATGTATACTGAAATATGCAAAACTTTCGTACTTGTAGAGTTGTAGTATAAATATTCAAAGTTTTGGCTTTCATAACCTGAGTTTTTCAGTCCGCCACATGATGATTGTCCATGGCAAATTGCAGTTGTGTGTTGATACTAGTTGCCATTGGTGGGAATGGTGGGTGGTGGGAATCGGAACCACAATTGGATATATTTGAGCTAGGGGTGGACCAGCTGGTAGGCATGGACCGGTTCCAGATCGGACTAGGGGTGGACTCGGGCCGGGCCAACCGGCCCGGAACCGGACCGGCCCGCTACTGTGCGGGCCTGGACCGGCTCGGTGAACTGGTTAGTTGGCCGGTTCGGGCCACCCGGCCCGGTGGGATCTCGGTTCGGGCTCGGGTCCTTCAAAAGGTGAACCGGCCCGGCCGGGCCAATTTTTTTGTTTTTGATTTTTTTTAAGTTTTTGGGTTGGGCTGGGTATTTTGGGTCATTTGAGGTGGTAGGGTTGGTTTGGGGGTGAGGGGGAGGGTTGGGGGTTAACTAGCAAAAGCCCAAAAAAAAAAAAAATATAATCGAGGCTCGGAGCCTCGGACCCTGGCCGGTTCCAGGCCTCCCATACCTTGAATCGAGGCCCGGCCGGTTCAAGGCCCGAACCGAGTCCATCCCTAGATCGGACCGGTCTAAACCGTGCTTTTCTATTGGGGGTTAAGGCTCGGAATCGTGCTGTGCTGAGGTCAGGTAGCGGTTTTTTTTTTTGGCTTTTCTAATTAATTCCTACCCCCACCCCCATGCCCCAAACCCCTCCAAAACATCTAGCCCAACCTGCCTACCACCCTAGAGGCCTAGACTATTTTTTTTGGCCCGGGCCAGTTCCAAAGAACCTTGCAGCCCGAGCCCGCCCACAAAACACCACCAGGTCAGGTTCTAGGCCCGGGCCCGGTCCAGGGAAAACGGGTTGGGCTGGTCCCGCACAGTGGCGTGCCGGATTGATTCTTGGGCCGGGCCGATCAGAACCGATCCATCCCTACTAGCCGGCGGTCCGGATTGGGACTGGCATTGTGCCAGCCTGTACTAGAACTAGAATAGCGGTTCTGTTTCAGAACCGGGTACCTGTTTCCGGCGGGCCCGGTTTCGGGTGTGATAAATGGGGATTGGACCGAGTGGTCCTGATCTAAGTTTCAGTCCCAATAGTCAGTTTTTAATTTTTTTGTTTTTTGTTTTCGACTTTTGTTTGAAGAGGTGGGTGTGGGGGTAGGGATGGATCGGGACCGGGTTAGGATTGGGCGGGCTAGGAACTAAAAATTTAGAGAATAATTTTAAATACAAAAGTTTAATGTGTTAAAGGTCAAATATTATACATACTACCTCCGTCCTAAATTGATTTGTACAGACAAACTTTTGGTCAAACAGTTTCATTTTATTTATTTAATTAGGATATGAATATTTAATTATATTCTAATTTGAATTGTGCAATTTTATAGAGATTTGAATGTAGTTTCCGAATATCTAAATATTAATTACTAAAAAGTGAGTTAATTATCAATAGGGAGGATTTAACTTTACTATTGGTTGACAAAAAATATTGACTTTGCAAATCAATTTAGGAAGGAGGGAGTCTGAAATTACCAATTGGGACGGAGGGTGTATGAAATTACCAATCAGCATGTTACATCAAAACAATGGAATGGATATTAACTTATTACAAAATGGAGCTTGATTTTGCCTCGATAGATTTTCCGTGTTCGATTTGAGCGCTCATTAAACACGTTTGAATGTAGAAGTTTTGAATATGGTCATTAATAGATTGATGTTCGAATTATTCAATAAATACTTGAATCCTTAATAAGCATTAATAAATTTATAAAATTATGCTAAGAACGTTTTAAGTGAATATATAATTGATATAATTCATTCTTAGAGTTTATAAGTGAACGATAAGCTCAAGTCCAAATTGAACCAATCATCAGTATGCTCAAACTCAGATTGAATAACTATTCGAACTCAAAATCTAGCCCGTATTCGAGTTCGAATCTCGTGAAACTCGGGTCATTAAATTGGATTCGAAATCAAGATTGAATTTGAGTAGTTCGAAAAAAGTTCGATTCCTTAACAATCCTAAGGTAAATCGTGTAGTAGCATATTTTTACTGTTTAGCCCACCCCACTTATCATTTCTGGAGCCACCCCCGATGTGTAGATGCATGCCAAACCAAAATTGATAGCCCTACCATAGCAACTCTAGGATAAGTGAACCACGGACGGATCCAGGATTTCAAGTCAAAAGGGGGGGGGGGGGGGGGGGGGGGGATTTTTCCGTTAGTGTAGGAGGTGAAAAAAATTTCACTAGTGTGGCGGGGCAATTTTTTTCCGCTAGCGTAGGGCTGTGCTGGTATATTTCTTTCAAAAAATTCCATTAGTACATATACGATGACATTTAAATTTATTCCATTCTAAGTTTAGACAATAGAAAAATAACTTTGAATTTATAACTGTAAATACTCTAGAAAAAAGTATTGATACATTAAAACGTAAGAAATGACAAATCAAAGGAAAATGATTTGAAAATAAAAAAGAATAAATAATATTTTATCAAATTATTTGAAGGTTAAGAGTTTAAAAGATACACATCAACCAATACTTTTTAAACAACTTCTGCTTTCTTGAATAAAGAATTGGGTTTTTAATTACAATTTTTGTCTAGAGGGTGTTCGGGGGTCACGAGGAATTTCATTAATATTACAATATTATGCATTAGATTATTGTTTTTAGAATAATATTATACGTAGTATTGTTAATTCATATATATATATATATATATATATATATATATATATATATATATATATATATATATATATATATATATATATATATGAATTAACAATACTACGTATATATATGGTGCATATTATATAAACAAATGGGGTTGGTCTGGGCTAGAGCCCACCCTAGCCCCCCTATGAAGATCCGCCCATGGTTCAGTCCTAACACATGCACTCCAGGTTGAACTACTCGTGTTGGGCACCCATCGCCATTTCACTTGACCCGGTAAACCCTATCCTGATCAAACTATCGTCTTCATTATCGAAACGTAGCCTGTATGTATATGCTCTTGCGATCGACAGTGGTGGAACTAGAAAATAATCTAAGTGGGGGCACAATCATCGATCTATGTAAACCATCACATTAATAATAATATTGTCAACAAATTGAACCAATAAAACATAACAAATTTAATATCAAACTAACATTCTCAATTGACATTCCCTCATAATAATTACCGAAAAATAATAATTAATTTAAACTATTACAAATTCATAATTTCTTACCAATAAATCAATAATACATAATCATTAGATTTAATTCAAACTATTTTAAACTACATATTCTTCAAACCTTATATATGAATTGTAATAATTCAATAATGAAACATGGAGCACCAAAATAAATAATAACAAAACTTGAGCAATTAAGTATATTACAATCATTAATTCATTGCCGATAAAGAACGAACTGATTGCCAAACAAAATAGACAAAACTTTTTCAAGCTGTCAAATTCTACATTTTTGTATCGGCACAGAACTATTTTTGCAGTTCAACTACCACTTCTTGAAACTTTCGAGTTGTCCTTATTTCACCAATTCATACATATGTGTCTTCTCCATTAACAAATAAATATCTATTAATATATTAATATTAATTATATATATATAATTAAGATATTATATAATATATATGCATATATATGATGCGGGTTAGCGGTGGGTAGATGGAGCGGGTGACGGGTCGGGTGATGGGTCGGATGAGTGTTCATCCACACCCGATCCAACCCGTCTTTCAATTCACCCGTCATCCATTTTTCATCCATACTTTTCGCGTTTTCATCCTTATTTTCGGTTCGGGTTGACCGTGTATCCGCGGTGCGGGTGACATTACTAGCCCTACATTCTCACATCAAGGCTCCATTTAAACGGCTAATGATAATCAGTCCTGGTTCGCTCCTTTGTTTGGCCCTTTGGCGGGCAAATATGTGCAAATTATACGGAAGTATGCAGTAAATTTGTCAATATTTCTAAGTTGAAGGAGATGAAGGGTAATAGTCGAATTATAATTAAAATAAGTTATACAGTACTCCGTATTAGTTAAATTAATACTATCTTCCTTTTGTTTTTAGAGAGGAGAAGACTCAAAAGAGGATTATGCCGGCGGTGGGGCTTGGAGAAAGTGCCGGAGCGGAGAGAGCAATTGGAGGGTTGGTTTGTTGGATTTATAACGGGAAAGTTTTGAGCAATTATTTAAAAATCTAAAACAAATAATTATGTTTTCGAAATTTAATTCGAATTGGAATTACTAAAAAAAACATCTTGTCGGATTACACACTTCCAACTGGAGGTTTAATCCGAATTTAAAAAAATGCTTTTTTCTAGTCGGATTCTTCGGTTCCAACAGGAGGTTTTTTACGAATTAAGCCAAACCCTAGCCCTAGTCGGAATCCCCACTTCAAACTCCCAACTCCCGTATTTTCAGAAATCCTAAAAACACCCGTGTTTTGACAGTGCATGTAAGCTTTTCCTGTATATTGGGAAATCACCTCGATATGATTACAATATCAGTAGTGTATCCAGGGACGGATCCGGGAATTTGAGATGCACTGGACTGAGGAACAATTATAGTAGGTTTAAACTTTAGCGGGGTGGGTTGAATATGAACAAAGAAAAAAAAAACATTACACTAAAAAAATGAAAAAAATTAAGTTACACTGGATTTCAGCCCACCATAACATGTACATAACATCATTATTACTCACTTTAGAGTTTATGAGAATTATTATTGGGGGTGTTTGACAATTGGCTGTTGGCTGTTGTCTGTTGTCCTTCTCCTGCACTGGCGTAGTTGGCCGAGGCCCGAAGGTAACTCTCACCCTTCTTGGAGGGGGGGGGGGGGGGGGGGGGGGGGGCTCCGTGCCCTTTCCCCTCTGCAGCCGTTGCTGCCACAGGAACAATGACTTGTTGAGGCTCCTCCTCTTCATCGGATTTCGCCTCAACAACGAGCTTCTCAGGCACAGTTGCGGAAGGAAAATGTGAGGATAAGCAGAATAAAATACAAAGTAG